CCACCCCAACACCAGCGGTGCCACCTCAATGGCTGCCACCAGTACCGGTGCAGCTGCCTCCTCCTCCTCCTCCTCCTCCATCGCTCCTTCCTTGAGCCGCTACGAGTCACAAAAGCGACGCGACTGGAACACGTTCGGGCAGTACCTCAGGAACCACCGCCCGCCGCTCTCGCTCTCTCAGTGCAGCAGCTCCCATGTGCTGGAGTTCCTTCGCTACCTGGACCAGTTCGGCAAGACCAAAATCCACACCCACTTGTGCCCCTTCTTTGGCAACTCCAACCCCCCCGCGCCGTGTCCCTGCCCTCTCCGTCAAGCCTGGGGCAGCCTCGACGCCCTCATCGGCCGCCTTCGTGCCGCCTACGAGGAGAACGGAGGCAAGCCTGAGTCCAACCCGTTCGGTGCCCGCGCCATCCGTCTCTACCTCCGCGAGGTCCGCGAGGTCCAATCAAAGGCACGCGGCATCAGCTACGAGAAGAAGAAGCGCAAGAAACAACAACAACTCCAACAACAACAGCAACAACAACAACAACAACAACAACAACAACAACAACACGATCAGCATCATCCCCCACCACCCCCGGCCGCAGCCTGACGTCCGACCTGCGATTGCCGAGCATGCCATTAATGCTTGTGTTGCCACACCAGATATGTATTAGATCCTCCTCCTTGCTTTGATTGGTATGGTGTTTTCTATTAGGTTATCACTGTCATCCAGTCTGTGTGATCTCTTTCCTGTTTGCCGATTGAACATATGAACGACTTGCCGATAAATATTACATCTTCATAAGGTGTAGGTTTTCCCTAATATGAATGTGCAGTAGAAACATCAAGTGGTAGTGTTATCAGTAGGACGTGCATCATTGCGAAAAGAAAGGAAAGAATGTACGTGAGAGGCGAGTGGAGCAAAAAGTTGATACGGGACTGCGGTGAGAGCCCCCATTTATGGGGAGTGTCACATTTCAATTCTTACCAACACAGGAAAAGTTGTGCTCACTATTTCCATTTTGACTGAGAAGACCTCACTGCAAATGGATGTACGTAGATTCTCGCTATGTCAAAGCAAAAGCATTTGCTCGGTTGGGTCATTCACAGATCGACCTTTCTCTTTTCCCCATCTGATGATCAAAAGCTAAGCTGTAAAACCCAAGACTTCACGAAACACAAAAATGACTACAGGGATTCTTCGGTTTCCCTGTTTCTCATGCTATGGGAAGAACTTAGGGTTTGTGAGAGCTGCAGATGGTGTTGAGGTCATGTCCTCACACGCTCGACGGATCAAAGCACGATGGTGATACGATGATTTGTAATGCTTTGATGATTTCAAGAAAGTTCGTAGACATGCAATTCTAATTTGTCCTTAGTCATATAGAGTAAGTTTCTGCATTTAAATAGTTCATGATAGTTTGATTATGACTTGGAAGAAAGTGAATGGTTTGTGCTTCATAATTATCTAAAATCTGCAGATACTTCTATTGGAATTGTCATCATCTACTGTGTGCTATTCTACATTTTTGTTTCCTCTCTCTTTTGTCTTCGTGAAACCTTCCTATGTCTAAGTTCCTGGGGTTTTATCATCCAGAAAAGAATGGTGAACTCATCTTGCTATTTTATCACTGCAAACTATGAGAATTCTGGACTATGCTCTATCAGCTTCCTTCCCTAAGAACACTGTGATACCTTAACTCACAACCAAATCAAAGTATGACCAATAATTGAAATCAGAAGCAGCATCTAAATATGAGATACTTCATGATAAGCTGTGAGATCATTTATATTAGACACTAATATTCTATTACCGCAAGATTACTATCGAAAAAAGGCTAAGAGGAGATAAACCAATCTGTAGTTTGTCATGTTGGAAGAATGGAATTTGTGCAAGGACTTGAGGTATAATTGCATAAAATGTTTCTGAAACCATAATGCTAGCATGCCTATCTAATTTATGTGACTATAAACTTGTGAGAATCTAGAAAATGAAAGAATTATGGTGATCCAAAGATGGAGGCAAACCATTGTCTAATTTATGTGTTGCTTAGGTCAGCTATCTAATTTCCTTCCTCTATTACCCTATTCTTACAGCAGTGATCTTGATTTGTGTCATTTGCTAGAACAGTTCAAGATTATGCCTACAATTATCTTACAAAGTGGTCTTCCCTTGGTCACAAAATAATTTCTATCTCTATATCAATTCCATTATATGGGAAAAATAAGTCCTCAGATTTTTGGAAGGAAATTAAACTAAAAGTTTCATCTGCAAATAAAATGCAATCAGAAGAAGAACTGCTAACTATTACCCTGTCACCTTACAACAAAGAAGCTTGTAATTCTTTCTGATTCTTTTTCTTTGTCTGGAGTCAAAATGCTAGGAAGCTTATTAATCTCTCATTTTCGACGAATATCCATTTCAATAAATTGTACTGTAATTCTAGTATTTGAATCTGCAATTTACATGTAAACTAAATCAAATTATAATGTAATAGATTTTCCATTAAATGAAGCTTGGAATGAGAACACAATCACTCATATATATACATAATACAATTCTTTAGTAAGACAATCTTCTACCACTTCATGAACTACATTATCATTTATTTTCTTACCTTATCTCTTCTCCATTTCATGAGTTCCTGAACTGTTGAAACAAAGTGTTCTTAACAGAACCTTTCAATATGTATGTTTGTATCTTGGAAAGTTACTTCATTAGTTCTGGGAAGAGAATGCTTCAAGTGACCATAGAAAGAAGACATTGTCCACAAAGATTAGTACTTAATTTTATTAAACTCATGCAATCATTATATACTATCCTTCCTTTCTCAGAGTAGCAAATCCAGTTATAGCTTTTCTTGATTGTTCAATTTGTGGAATAATATATATGCCACAATAGGTCCTAAGTAATGCTTCAAACATGTAAAGTCTAATTTGTTCACTACATTCAGAACATAATTTGTGCATCTAAGATAAATCATAAATAACAATGTTCTTTACTTCAATTATTGATCTTATCACTTACCTATGTCTCAAAATGTTCATGATATAACTTAGGGTTCTAGTTCTATTGAGGACTGATCCATAAAGATCAGAAAAACAGGAACAGTGTGAAGTGAAACTTTCATTTATAGTTTTTTGCAGCAATTCATCTAAATATTTATTAAAAAGAGATTTTGAAGTGATTCAAATAGGAACTACATTTTACTTTATAGATTAGGTTATTGCATTTACTCCCAACCAAAGGCAATTAATGCCAGTGATCTCAGACATATAAGAGAAAGGCAACTACTGTAAGCAAATTTAGGTAGAAAATTTGTAGTTTTCCAGCATACATGATAGCAAAAGTTACATGAATTTTGGATCATGTTAAACTTCAATATGTTCCAACTGATACACAAATGCATAAGCATTACTGCATATTATTTAGCTCACAGATCTAAAGAGACAAAATTGATAACTAAGCTATATAGTGTTTATTAGGTTTGTGACAACAAAACCATGAATCCTGCAACACATACCATGTTTGATGCACATGAATGATGGAAAAGAATCATCAGCTCATGGTGAAAAGAGAAGACTGAGAGAGGTTGTTCTCTTATTCTCATCCAAGGCTCTTCATCAGTAGGATTAATCACAAGCATTGGATTTTTCCCTGTTTTCTATGATCATGGAGAGAGCTTAATTACAAGTGGATTGTGCTTGATTCCTTCTATCAATTTCTTTTCTCTTTGCCATTGTTTGTCTTGGTTTATGGTGATTGATTGCCGGATCCTATCACTGACTTTGAGTTATTGTTGTCAAGGGATTAAGATTGGTAATGATTATCTATTTAAAAATATAAATAGTGAAATAATTTATCTTTTATGTAAGTTTTAATACTTTTTTAATAATGTTTTTGACATATTTTCAAGAACACTCTATCATGAAAAAATATATTAAAAAAAAACCTATTGATCTTGCTTATGTATTTTTGTATTGAGTTACAAGAGTTTTCAACAATATCAAATATTTAAAATAATATAACGTAGAAGAAAAATACTGTAATCGACGATCGGTCCAATTCGATGGACTTGTTCACCTTATGAACTTGATCTATAAGAAAAAAATAAATAAAATTAGATGATTGGTTATCAAATGAAGCTATATTCAAAATTAGACGCGGAAGGAAACGCTGGTAGGAAAATATGAAAATAATAATAATAAGAATTTAAGGAAATTAGTCCATTTTGTTTGTGCCACCACAGTCGAAGTCTGTGTGATGCACCTCGGAAGAGGGCAGGAGAATCTTTGAATGCGCGGTGGGAAAGGACAGGACATTCTTGTAATTTGATTTGGCTCGGACCCGCCGAATGGCGCCTCCCTCCGCTGACGCCGCCACCTCGTATTCACCACGGCGCGCAGTATAAGCTTCTGTGTGTGTCACTGCAGCGTGCTCCCATATCAGTCAGCGTACGTCAAGCAAGACACCGCTCGCTGCTCTGTTTTACTATGCCTGCCGAAAGCGATTTGGCTGTCGGTGCATTTTGGGTGTCCACTTTGCCCTTCCACCTAAATTTCTCCAGCGGAATTGGATATCTGTGTGCCGGAGATGCGATAGCCAAAAGCATATATATATATATATATAAACCTTAGTTGAGTTAGAAGAAGGGTTAAGTCGTGTACTAAACTTGAAAGACTTGCATCTATCTAATTTGCTATATTCTCACAAGGCACATAACTCGACCAAGAAAAAGATGGACATGAGGGTGGAACGATATAACGACGTACGTGAAGAACTACGAGGCTATAGCCGAAAGAAGTAAATTATAAAGAGTAATACTCTTGTAGGTGATTGGTGTGAAATACTCAAATCCTATCTATCAACTAATTGCCTCTCGTAATGTTCCAAAATGTGCAACATCTTCTATATTTCATGTGCTAATAAATTATAATCCATATGGCCGCCGCCATCTTCAACGATAGAAAGTCTCATAGGGGGATAAAAATTATTTTATGCTGCAGTATGGAACAAATGTAAGCAATCAAAATAACCCCCTTTTTTTTTTAAAGAAAAAAGGGTTGTTTAGTCTCCTGTTGATTTTTGGTCATACTAATTACAAGGGGAAAAGTCAAACACTTCCACCTGTTTCGAGATACAAAAGGTGAGGGGGGGTGTGGATATACATCATGTTATTCATCATACGTAACAACAAGGAATGAGAGCTTTCAGAGTAAAAGAAAAACACGTATAGCTGTTTCGTGAAAAGAATGAAGGCATTAATTTGGGTTTCAACTGGATCCCTGATTATTCTCCTTGTAAACAGCTTCTAAACATTCCTTTGCCCGATGAACTTTCGACTGGAGGTAGAAGCTCCCGGTTTTAGTATTGTTCTCAAATAAGACATCATATTTCTGCATAGACAGGATTAAATGTTGATCCAACAAATGTGTGTGTGTGTGTGTGAGAGAGAGAGAGAGAGAGAGAGAGAGAGAGAGGGGTTAGAAGGGCAAACCTGCATGACTTCTTCCCATGACGAGTTCTCAGATATCCCTAAGATCTGTCGAGCTTCCTGTTCGGTCATTGCCCTACTTGCTCTGCGGATATTGTTAATTGCCTCATGTGCAACACCATTTTTATTGGCATCTGTGGTGGCCAAAAAATGAAACAAACATCTATCAAACACGGTCATTATACTTACAAAGTGCAGAGACGTGATTTGTCCCAGACAATTTTAATTTCCATTATGGTAACACTATCATAATATAGTGTTACATCTCTAAAACCTGTAGGAATTTTGCCAAGCTGGTTGCCTGGTCAATTATGACTGTGGCAGCCCAACTCACGATGAGTTTCAAGACATTTTTTTCCCAATTCTTGATGGAAACCAATGAATTATAACCTAAAATCAGTAGTTTCAAAAAGCACAACTGCACCAGTTCAGGGAGATCTGCAACGAAGATCCATAGGAATGTAGATTCACTATTATATGAGGCAAGTGATCATTTTCGTTCGATCGAACTGCAAAGGGCTTCCAGATTTTATTGGTGTGTGAGACACACCAACACACGATTTAACAACTTAAGGTATTTGTTAAAATGTGTATTCAGTGAGACACTTTCACAGATACCTCTAATATGATTTGTTATTCAGTGACCAAAACATAATTTGTACTTGAAGCTCTAGTTGCTAAGTAGTTATATTGGAATGTGCAACAAGGACTGAAGGTAATCCTCTATTTGAACAGAGGGGCACAAATGCTGTAAGGTCAATGATAAAAAGAACATAACCAGGAACACCCTAATCAAGACGAACATTTTAAAATTGCAGGAACCCTGGTAAAGTGTTTTCTAGATGATACCCATATGGAACTTGATATCATGAACTCGTTTTAATGAGGGGGGCATGCAGACTGCATTTATGTCAATGTCGGAAAAAAATCGCCACACTGATCCACAGAACTACCTTCTATCATTTGAAGGAACTCATCATACAGGAAATTTTTTATAATATTTTCATTTTAATTATACAAAACCAAGGAGAAGAATGCTAGGCAACTGAAAACTAATTTTAGAAAAAGAAGAATGTAATTAAGAAACTTACTTTCCAATGCTTTACGATATGCTTGCAACACAGCCCTTCCCAAAATACCAGAGCCCATTATAATTAAGTTGGCAATAAGTTTTGCAGCCTATTTAAACAACAACAAAATAGGAACATAAGTAAGGATATCCATACAAGTATCCCTATTCCAAGATTACCATTTCAAGTCACTAAATAACTCTAAGATGCTACAAGAAGATGAATGGCAGAGATTTATCTTAAAAAATCAAGAAGGCCATATTTTGGTATAAATGCAAATATGACGTATGCAAGGTAAGAGTGCTTTCTGAAAAAACATATTCAGAAAGCACAAGTCCACGTTGCAAACATGTTGAAACTTTGCAGTTTAACCAGAAAGTCAAGTAAAAGACCTAGTATATTTGTCCTATAGGTCTTATATGTTTCATCTGCAAAGAATGATGCAGAAAGATACATACCGACCCTAATAATTAAGAATGATCAGCTAGTCACATAAAGGAGCAATCAAACATCAAAAGGAAACTTTGACAGTGAGAATAACACTTCCCCAGGGCCCTATCGAGCCTCTAAGAAAATAAAAACAGCACTTCTTTAATAATTCTCCTCTTAAAGAAGCTAAACAATGACAATAAATCATTGTCACTCGTAGCTGTAAAAAGGCCCCAAAATACAGTTCAACCTCCTGGAAACAGGACATAATATGCTTGAAATTGATTTACAAATTAGCCACAAGGAATAGATGGGCAGGTTAGCTTGAAACCAAATACATCACTAAATCGACATGAATTCCTAGAGAAGTAGAGATTTATTATTCATATTGGTGAGACCATACACACAAATAAGCAGAAATTATCAACAAAATGTGTCCATGACAAGATAACAGCAACAAAAAAAAAAAGTGTTCATCATTCGTATAGGACTACTGGATATAATTTTATATTTTAACACAAACATATAAATTTGAGGAGTTAAATGAGAAACGGGAACAAACTCATCTTTCATCAGTAAGTTAAATGAGAATGAAAATGCCATGGTGCCCACTTTCAATTCATCAGTAAGGTGAATTGTTAGGCAGAGTATGCACATTCTTCTTATTTTTGTTGCCCATATTCCTTTAGCACATATGTGGCACCATAAGCATAGGTTGAATTGGAATCTAGATCATGATCAGCCAATGACAATATGATTGATATCAAATCGATTGGTCAGATCAGATCGATGCAATCTTTTTTCAAATTTTCCATCCATTTTACATTTTTTTATAATATTTAGCATTAAATCATGGTTTGGGATCAACCGAAATCAATTTTGGTCAATCTTAATCCAAATCATGATTAATCTTGAGTCTCATCCAACATCAATAAATGTTCAACAATATTGTTGTTGAAATCGTTGTTATCCTAATTTTGTTTCTATACAATTAACCTCGATAATAAAGATAAAAAGTATCCAATACACAAGGCTCCCGTCAATGTGAAATCTAGGGAGGCGTATTATATCAGAAATTTATGTAATAGAAACAAAGTGATGAAATCCTAATTTAGGTGATCTTATATATCTCCCGAGGCAAAAGAATTAACATGCATGTTAGCATAAACGCAAGCACAATTCCTAGTACTGTCTCCTGACATAATTACTTGCTCAGATTGCAGAACGCGTCCCAGTGCACGAATAGGATTCCATACAATGGCGAGACCAATAAATCTTAAATAATCAGAAGCTCATAACGACCTGTTCTGAACTCACACCAATCATGCAAATCACATAAGACAAAGCTATACAATAAAAGTCAGTAATAAAACTAGCAAAGAAGCCCAAATTAGGTCTAAACATAATAAAGTCTCTTCCCGTTTACTAAAGAATCCTGGAATGAATTATCTTTGCCAGAATCACGTCAGCCTTAGGTCCAATCTCAATCTAAACCTAAGATCCTTTCTCACCACTATAGGGCGAGCATAATAGATCGTATGATCCCCAAGAAGTTTACACGATTGCACGCTCATAAAGTAGCGTTGGTAGGTTGATTTCCTTCTCTTATTCAAAGAATCGACGACATAGAACCGCCAAACTTTTGTCTAAAAGCCCTATTTAAGAGTATACGAAATTGAGGACGACTAAACTCCTCCGGAAAGTGCTCCGAACCACTTAAAATTAATGTTTCGTAGAAAAGAAAACCCTAATCGTTGATCCGCAATCGAGATCCCTCAAAGAAAACAATAACGTTACCAAAGAAACGAGAGCGGCTAGAACAATTGGTAATAGGACGTCTCAATAATCAGCAGGATATCCCATATGAAAAGGGAAAAATTACCGACCATTGATTGGGTTGCGTCGTGCAGCAACCTCGGTGAGCCACGGGAGACGAGGGTCTCAACGAATCGATTGGTTTTGGAGAGGAGGAATCGCGGGAACACAGCAAACTTCCGTCGGCTGGAAGAGGTTTCGTGGCAGCGGGGCAAAGGAGAAGAATTCGTGGGGGCGAAAGAGAGAAGCTCGAAGACGACGGGTCGCGATGAAGGTTCCAGAACATCGTCCTCGTGTTATATAAGTCTGATCTCGAATCGTACGGCTGGCTACTGGAGATACCGAAACGAACGGTTCAGATAACAGGATAAGACAATAAAGCCTATTACTGTGAAGCGCGTGCCTAAAGTTGATATGATAAACCATACATATAAGAGTCACTTCTGAAGGTGTTTGTGAGAATGCCAATTACCCACAAGTCCATGGCTGTGATAGTAATTCCCGGACTCGAAAGGTGTTCCATGTACATACGAGTTTACTAGATTACAATCCTTTGTCTTTAGTTTTCGTCCTCCATGGAGAAGTCTGGTTCCTTGGGCTTCTTCAATGGCTTCCCCGCTTGTGCGGCAGTCTCTCTCTTTTTGGTGCTGGCCACGAACCGCGCGGCGAACACGGCCGCTCCTGCCCGCGGATTTGGAACCTCGGATGACTCCAGTGACAAAGAACGACCGTCCCTGCGGCCCTCCGTGACGCCGAGTTCGATCGATGCTCTCCATCGCTTTTGCCGGCGCCATGCGGCTTGGATGAAACATGCGCCCCACGACCGCCACTGGTGCGAGTAGAACCGGAACTTGTGGCGGAGCTGCTTGCTGTGGAGCCTCCGGAACTGGGAGGCCACGAACTTGAGGTCTTCCGCGACGAGAGCGAAGGCTTCGACCTCGGACACGGCCTGCACGGTGCGCGTCGACAGCGGCAGCGCGGCCGCAGGCCGGGGGTCGAGCGCCCAGGTGAGTAGCTCCTCCCCGCAGAACTCGCCCGGGCCGATCCGGCACGAGTTGAAGAACCCGGTGCGGCCGCCGTTGGTGGTGTCGGAATCCAGGTACCCGCGAATGATGAAGAGCATCTCGCTGGCGGGGTCGAGCTCGCGGACGAGGCACGTGCCCTGGGTGTAGAGCGCCGGCTTCAGCCGCTCGCAGATGGCTTCCAGCATCCGCTCATCCATTTCGTCGAACAGCGGCACCTGCATCACACGTTGAATTACCTTAAGTTCCTCAGCGAAGATCCATGGAGATGGTAGACACAGAAGCCGAGCATATGCATACTCGTCTAACTAGATCGAGGCAGAGGTGGCGCTTGATGTCTCTGCGGAGGTCCACAGGGAGGCCCTGAAGCAAGCCTTCTTCGTCTACCCCGCGAGTGGCCACCCATTTGAACTGGTGGTATCTTCGCACGCACTGTTTGAGCTCCCATGGCAGCTGGCGATGACGCATCCACTGCTCTGTGTCAGTCGTCTTAACCCTCCATTCTTCCAACCGGGCGGTCGTAGATTGAAGATAGGACTGTCAAGCGGAAACAATACGGTGAATTCTGCTCCTAATTAAGAAGCATAGGTGGATGTCAACTCTGTTCTTCTCGATGACCGAAGTTGAATCGCTAAGACTTACTTGCATATTCCCAATGAGCAGTCCGAAGAGAACCAAGCCAAGGATCGCGATGATGATTGCGAAGCCTATCTCGCCCACATTGGTGCTCGTCGAGAGGTTTTGCCCCAATGAGCTGCAGAGGTTCTCATGAGCTCAGATTGCAGATCGCAAGGAACTAATTCTACGGTCTTCTTACCTTAGGTTCTTCAACCCCCACCAGAAGCAGAAGAAGTACTTGTGGAAGAACGGGGATGAGGTCACATTAAAGTTCAACGCATCTGCATATATTCCGAACTGATAGAAGCTGTTGCTGGGATTGCAAAAGCTTGTGGGATCACTCTGTCGGTTCCAGGTGATCCTGGAATTGCCGAGGCTTCTGCAATCGAAGTATGTGTACCGACAAGATAAGCCTTCGAGTCGACATGCCTCTCGCCAACATGCTTCTTGGCGCTCGATCGATAGAAGATACCATGATGCTCCAATCACCTACGGCGAGGACAGTTGAAACAGGCTTTCCGGGAAGAAGATTATCCATGGCCAGAGGCTAAATACTTACATGGCTTGCAAGCATGTAGAGTAGAAGATTGTAAGCAGCACCAGCCCAAGCATTCTCGGTCATGACTCCTGTCATCCTCACGATCCTCTTGGATAGCGGGAAAATTAGGAACAGCCTCGGGATGTATTGGATGATGATGCTGAGCCGAAGGAAGTTCTTCGTGTTGTTGATGGCAGAGCCATTCAGGTAAGGAATGACGACCCATATGAGGAACTGCCAACACAGAGGTTTGAGCACGATGGAGGAGTCTCTCACCATGAAGCAAAACAGGAAACCAAGTGTGTCGGCTTTTGGTACCTGCGGCAGAGGGAGTGCAGCCACGAGATCAAGGAAGAAGCTCTTGGAGAGATATCTGGAGGTGATCTTGGAAGGATCGACGACGAGCTCACCTCTCCCAAATACTCGAGAGGATGGAGCGACGAATGCTGTCCGGAAGCGGACAAAGATGTGGACGAGGTACAGCACATCTGCCAGCGAGCGTACGACCGTAAGAGCTACCTCGAGCGGGACGCCGACGTCGATGCACTGCATGCCTGGAGTTCCCGGGATGTAGAAGAACAGAGGGTCGATGAAGAGGGAGACGAGACATGTCACAAGGAACACCTTATTCCACCGGTGAATTATGTGGCTGCGAGGATCGAACAGCCCGATTTGGCTGCCGACCAAGGAGTCGTAGTCCTCGGAGAAGACGCGCGATAGCACCTTCTGCCTGAAGGACTTGAAGGGTTTGTCAGGGCAGACTCTTGATCTTAAGCTACACGATCTCCATGTCGGCTCGGTGTTCTTGGAGTAGTCGTCGTCGTTCGAGTCGCAGTAGCTGGTTTCGGACATGGCAAACTCGACATCATCTTGGAATCTGAGAAGGACGAGAGAAAACGATGATACACAACCAAGTTCATGAAGAATTCTTTCGCTGCTGATGTTAGGACGGCTCACCTTACAGATCTTGAGTTGGAGTAGGCCATGGCTGCTCACCGATGACAACTCGTCTCTGGCAGGTTATCTTGTGACCAACATCTTTAAACTGTGAGGACACAGATGTTGGCAAAGGCCAGCCATTAGAATCAAAAGCTCTCGCTCAACTACTTCCAGCAGAGATCTTGTGGAAAGAGGTATCAAGTTGCAGTAAAACCTGTGGATCTCTTCTCCTGAGAGGTCTGCAAACGTCAGAGCATCGATCATGTGACTACCTGTACTCGATGCTTCTTTCACTGACGACCTCTTAAAACCAGGAGCTGCTGCCAGGCCTTCCACGGTTCCCATTCTCTTGCTCCGAGCACGAGATCTGCAATGACAAGGAACAAATAAAGAAGAGGCTGATGACAGATTAGATATGTGCATACAGTGTCGTGTAGTATATATTCTTATGGTGATTTTGGATCCATCACAGGTCAAATCTCAGGTCATGGTTGTGTTGGTGCTTTCATATTATGTTCTCTGTGGTGCCAACAGATGCAGCAGCATAGATTGGAGAGTATCCAACATGGCATGACTTAAGATGCCAAACACAAGGATTCCTTAATTAATTAGGTTAAATGGACCACTGGTGGCACGTGAGGTCAACTTTCACCACATTATACAAAGGCGAAAAAGTATATATATATATGATATTTAACTATTTTTTATTTTTATAAAATTTTATGATAAATAACTATTAAAATTAAAGATTTTATTTTAAAATAGGTTATAATGGGTGGCTTGTGCATTGTATTCAATCCCACCGGATAATCCAAATATATGACAATTCTTCCCGATATGAAGCTATTTCTTAGTCTTGTTTTAACCTCTATGGAAGATTATGCTGACAGCAGTTGAATTTTGGGCACACATTGCTGAACAAAGAATTTAACTTCTGAAAACATATACTCCCTAAGTTCTTCTCCCCTACTCAATAGAAATCAACTATAACAATAACAAATAATAAAGAACACACTAATAGATCCTTCTCTAATCATCTACAGCTCTGAGCTTCCCGTCGTCGAAGTTTCTTGCATGGCTGAACGAGTCATACCGCCATGGCTGTGTGGTCGGCAGAACGTTGGGTCGCATGAGCTTCCCGATCTCCGAGCGCACCCTGCCGAAGATGTGCCGCCAGCTCCCGTTGCTACCCCACCCAAGCGCGGCCGTCTCCATCTCGTTCATCTCCATGTCCCGGGCGAACGCCGGCTTCCTGGAGAGGATCCACCCCCACCAAGAATCCCACCACCGTCTCAGAGGCCTGCCGGCGAAGTCTCCGATGGATGGCATGGACGCCGACTTCCTGAAGGCCCAGAGGGTGGAGGCCGAGGATGAGGAGGACTGGATCTTGCCGGAGAAAGAGGAGATCCTCTTCCTCAGGCCCATAAGATGTGTGTTCTGCTGCTGGGCTTGGGAGATGGGGAGGTCATTCTTGTAGGGCACGCTGGCGAAGAACCTGTTCTCGAACAAGGAGCCCATGGTTGCAGGAGAAGAAAAAGAAGGGGCGAAGACGGAGGGAAGTCTGCCTCTCCTCTTCCTTTTGAGGGTCTAATGCTTTTGGGAGCAGTGAAGATGGGAGAAGGAAGGGCAGGGGTAGATAGAGAAAGGAGACATGGCCGGTCTTTCCTAATGTTGCACAGCTATCAGACAGCTTGGCTGTAGATTACGTGCTCATGTTGTACTCTTTAACTTCTAGAGCTGGTGGAATCTTCTTGGCAATTTCTGTCATAATATCCTTGTAACATCAATCAACCTCCCATGTTCTTCAGTATCTTCTGTCTGATTTCTTCTCTCTTTTCATTCCTTAGGAAAGGGATTTGCCAATGGATTCATGCTGTCAAGTTAGTGAAATTATATAATTCAGATGACAACTTTGATTCAATCATGCAAGCATCAAAACTTTTTATTACAGCACCAAGAAAATGTCAACCCAAAGGAACGAGATGAAGGAAACCGTGAAAGCAACAGCTGAGAGAAGAAACACACGGTTTCTCTTACGATTTCAACGAAACATGATTTCAAGAATCGGCAATGTTACCTGTCCGGTAGTGTGGAATGCCGAGTTATGTAGAAGACCCCACCGAAGCAAGGAGCGAAGAACAGCCGGTCATTAGTCTTTGAGAAGACGAGAGACAGTCAATACACGCGATTGTAGAGAGAATGTCAACCAGAATATGGAAGAGTTCATGTACCTCGTGCTGTCTTCCAGTACTGGACATGGAATCGTAGCAACCTCAAGTGGGGCTTAAAGCTGGCCGTGGCCGCAGTCAACCTGCTCCAGAAAAGTCAACTAAACAAGATGAAATATGAACACGGAAGCAATGATCTTTTATGCTTTCAGTTATTGATGTAATTGGAATTGGAACAAGCAAGGATGATCGTACTTACCTTTCGACGGATTTGATAATCTCTATCCTGCAAAATAAAAGGTCACAAAAGCGGAATTGGTCAGAGTAACACCAACCACAAAGTTCAATATAGATATTTGTTTACCTTCTCCCCAATCATTGCTGAGCTCGGTTTCGATGCTTCGCACGAAGCTGAGCTCGGCAAATCGTCTCCACTCGTTGCCAGTCTTAGGGTTTGCTTCTGGAATGTCATGGTGGAATTCTTCTTCTTTGTCTTCTTCGGAAACCTGTAGGCAGTTGCCGCACAGTAGACTTTTCTTCTTCGGAAACCTGAATGTCATGGTGGACGATCTACAGCAAAGGCTGCATATAGAGAGAGGTTTTAGTCTTTCTCTTCTGTGTTCTTTTCTCTAATCCATCTCCGATGTTCGATCTCGTCTCCCTTGCATGCCAAGCCTCACAACCTTTATGCACGGCCTGCCTGATTCCTGTACATGATGAGATTAAGGAAACTTTGACCGCGTGCTTTCAACTCCGCCGGAACCGGAGCTCTCTCACGGAAGCGCTAAGCGACCTACGGGCCACCGCACAGAAAGTGAAGGACAAGGTCGAGGAAGAGGAGGCTCACCAGCGGATCTGCAATCCTGATGTCAGACGGTGGCAGAAGAAGGTCGAGGAGATACTCCGGGAATGCGACGCCGACCAGGAGCACGAGGAACCAAAGAGATGCGCCTGCCTGTGTGGCTGCGACATGGATCTGCTCCACCGTCACCGAGTCGCCAGGAAAGTCGTCCAGAATCTGCAGGACGTGAACAAGCTGAAGTCAGATGGCGATGCATTCACTCCCCCCTTCACCCACGAGCCGCCACCGGAGCCGGTGGAGGAACTGCCGTTTGAAACGCAGACCATCGGGATGGAGTCGGCCCTAAGCCAGCTCCTATCCCGGTTTGACGACGCGGAGAAGAGCATCATCGGCGTCCACGGGCTAGGGGGCATGGGCAAGACGACGCTCCTCAAAACGCTCAACAACGAGCTCAAGGAGAATACCCGCGATTACCATGTGGTGATCATGATCGAGGTTGCCAACTCCGAGACGCTCAACGTGGTCGATATGCAGAAGATCATCGCCAATCGGCTGGGTCTGCCGTGGAACGAGAGCGAGACGGAGAGGGAGCGATCCACATTTCTGCGCAGGGCCCTGAGGAGGAAGAAGTTCGTTGTCCTGCTCGACGACGTCTGGAAAAAGTTCCAGTTAGCGGACGTGGGAATCCCCACGCCAAGCTCCGACAACGGGTGGAAGCTGATCCTCGCCTCGCGGTCGAACCAGGTGTGCGTCGAGATGGGCGACAAGGAGCCCATGGAGATGCCCTGCTTGGGCGACAATGAATCGCTGAGGTTGTTCCGGAGCAACTTGATGGCCGAGGTCAGTGCCGCCATCGACCATGACAGCGACATGAGAAGAAGCGCCATGGATATCATACAGAGCTGCGGCGGCCTTCCACTAGCACTAAACGTCGTAGGCTGCGCTCTCGCGTGTAGCACGGATGCGGAGGAATGGAAGCAAGCGGCAAGAGCAATGAGGCGATACTCGTGGAGGATCAATGGCGTCCAGGAGATGTTGAACGTTCTCAAGTTTAGCTACGACAAGCTTGATGCCACACAGCAGAAATGCTTCCTGTACTGTACTCTCTTCCCCGAGTACGGCTCCATAAACAAGGAACTGCTGGTGAACTATTGGGTGGCAGAGGAGCTCGTGTCCGGAAAAAGCTACGACGGGTATCCCACCGTGACGAAGCTGGTCTCTGCTTGCTTGTTGCAGAGGAGCGACACCGAGCCGGGGGAGGTGAAGATGCATCGGATTACCCGACAAATGGGCCATCGGGAAGCAACAGAGGAGAGATTCATGATAAAGGCCGGTCGTGCATTGAAGCAAGCACCTGATGTGCAACGGTGGACAGAAGCCTCGAGGATCTCCCTGATGTGCAACGACATCAGGGAGCTCTCCATCGCCCCCAAGTGCAAGGGGCTTCTCACCTTGCTGCTCCAGAACAACCCAAACCTGTGCCACCTCGGCCCCAAGTTCTTCAGCTACATGTCCTCTCTCAAGGTGCTCGACCTTTCCCGCACCGCCATCGACAAGCTCCCCAACTGCAGCGCACTGGTTCAGCTGGCCTATCTCAATCTATCCCACACACCGATCAAGGAATTCCCCAAGCAACTCTGCGTCGCGCTGGTTCAGCTGCTCTATCTTAACATGTCGAATACCTACATCACCCAGCTCCCCAACAACCTGTGGAAATTGAAGAAGCTGACGCATCTGAATCTAAGCGAAACATCGGCGCTCAAGGTGATCCCCCACGGCACCATCTCCAAGCTCTTCAACCTCAGATTTCTCGACCTCTGCAGGAGCCACTATGGGATCTCGGAATTGCCCGACCTGAACCTTGAGATGTTGAAGGACCTCGAGCTTCTGGGGATCACAATATACTCCCAAGCCGTCCTGGGCAAGCTGAAGAAAAGCGATCCGCTTGCGAGATCCACTCAGCGCCTGAGTCTGGCACATTGCCAAGGCATGGAATCCATCCAGCTCCTGGAATTCAAAAAGATGAGGCACCTCAAGGAGCTCTACATCGACAGCTGCAACCAACTGCAAGACCTAATAGTCGATCACGTCGAGACGGAAGACACCAGCATTCCACCGACGAAGAAGCGAGTTGAACTGAAGCTGCTCACGCTCGCGTTTCTGCCCGACCTCGTCCGAGTCTCGCTGGGGCCGGCGCCCCATCGATTCCAACACCTCCGCGACCTCACCATCAAGTCATGCCCCAAATTACGCAACGTGTCGTGGGTGCTACGCCTGGAATCCCTCGAGCGGCTCGTCATCTCCCAGTGCGACGAATTGGAAGAGGTCGTACACGAGGGGTGTGATGGGGCTTCCACGAGAACCAACGGCGTACCCGAGGTGGAGGAAAAGGGTGTCGAAGCATGTGAACAGAGAAGGGATGGGTTTCCGAAGCTGAGATCCGTGGTGCTGAGCGACCTGCGCAAGCTGAGGAGCATCAGCCAAACGGAGGACTTGCCTTGCTTGCAGAACATTAAGGTGGAGCGGTGCCCAAACCTCAGAAGGCTTCCGGTGGGGAGGATGCCAAAACTGGAGCAGATAATTGGGGAGAACGAGTGGTGGGAAGGAATGCCGCCGTCGACAAAGGCCGATCTGTGCAACTATTTCGTCCCCATTGAGGACAAGAGCGACAACAGCAGAAACCTACTGACCCAATAAATTTTGGGTTATTATTTTCTTTTCGAAGGATAAATTAGAAAAATGGAATTCGAGTTAAAATAATAATAATATGTCAAAGTCTTTTAGATCTCCTCCTTAACTGATGATTCAGATTACAATATTTCAAAATATTAATTAATTGATTAAATATAATTTTACCTACCTCGAAAGATTAGTCTATGATAGACTTAATTTTTTTTACTCTAATTAGTTGGTTCATAATAATAATGAAAAATAATATTGTTATGGTAAGTAACTTTTTTAGCCGTGACCTCGGGGTCGATGCGGCTTGTTCAGGGGTCCGAACGGTTGGGATCAGGCGTGATTCCTCTCAGGATCTTGTGGCGGCCGATTGCGGGGGGTCTGGCTGGAAAGTTCCGTGACGCCGGGTTAGGTCGGCTTCGGTCGAGTACCTGCACACAGGTCGAGTCGGCGGTTCGGCCCGACCCCTCTGACGATCAAGTCAGTGATTGGGAGAGGAGTTTTTGGGTGAAGTGGTGTCCCCCCTATTCGTTGGGAGCCAGAGGGTACTTATAGGTGAGTTTGATGTTACCTGATGTGTCATTCTGTCGGAGCAGGGTCGTACTTCTGATGGCGTATGTCGTCGTCGTGGGCGTTGCGTGGAAGGCCAAGCTGCTGCAGGGTATGGCGAGCTTCAGTCGATGCCTTCCCCTGTCTCGGCTGGTCGTGCGGGGTTAGACGATGAGGTCGTCTGGGTACAGCGAGTGTGGGTGCACATTATGCTGGTGTTAATGCTCGCTCCCTGGGGCAGTGTGCCGTCCAGGGGTGGCTGACGTCGTGGTGTATTACGTCGAATCCGGTGTGTTACGTCAAATCTGTTTTTACCCGTATCATATCCCCCCCCCCCCCCGAAAGGAGTTATGCGTCGGTTTTTGCATGCAGGGGGTCTGATGCATAGCTTCTTACTTCAGGTGGGTTGGCCGCACAGGCGTGGTCTCGGGCGACGTGCAGTCGAGGGCCGAAGAGCACAACGCAGGTGGACTGACCGCGCAGGTGTGGTCTTGGGTGGCGTGCAGCCGAGGGCCGAAGAGCACAACGCAGGCGGACTGACCGCGCAGGTGTGGTCTTGGGTGGCGTACAGCCGAGGAGCACGACGCAGGCGGGCAGACCGTGCAGGTGTGGTCTCGGGCATCATGTTGCCGAGGAGCACGACGCAGGGGGGCTGACTGCGCAGGTGTGGTCTCGGGTGGCGTGCAGTCGAGGGCCAA